TCCGCCCCGCCCCGCACCGCGGCCCCGCCCCCCAACCCTACCGTGTGGGGCCCAATGAGGTCAGCAGTCATGGCCAGCGATGTGACCAGGATGGTGGCACCGCCGGGGCCCCACCGCGCAGAGCCAGCGATGTGACCAGGATGGTGGCACAGCCGGCGCCCAGCAGCGCGGCAGCCGCGTACACGGCCACGCCCAGCCTACCCGCCAGCGCCACCCAGGAGGCGAAGGCCAGGACCACCAGGAGTCCCAGGAAGTAGGTCAGCTGCAGAGGGAGGAGGCGGGCGTCAGCCCCAGTGCTGCCACCCGACCCAGGTGCTGGCCCTCTGTGGTTCTCACTCGCTACCCTCCCATCAACCTCTGCAAATGAGGGGCTGGCCGGGGCGGTCTCCAAGGACGCCCCAGCTCTGACCTAGGAGAAGTCAGGCTTCTGAGGCCCACAGGAGCTGCGGGAGACGCCTGGGAGTCCATTACAGCGGTAACACGGGGCAGCCTGACCCTGCGGTTAAGGGTCCCGCAGGGCTGTCGTGGGGTTTGAATCCCCTCGGCGGCGTGAAAAACCCACCAGGCGTGTGTGCGCACAGAATCCCGGAGAAAGGGAAAAGGGATTGCAGCACGGCCCCGCCCAAAGCAGTGTCTGTCTCTCAGGAGGACCTGCAGTTGGAGCCCCCTTTTTTTTTAAAAGAGAGATTTTTGCTATAGGGTGTGTGGCTTGCCATAGAGACAGAGATGAGAGACAGCGAGAAATCACCCCACAGTGGAGATGGTCACGCCCCAACTCCGTTCTCTTGGGATTTGGGGCGCATGCACACTGTGCTTTTGAGCCTCTGCATCCGGGATTCGAACCCTGCAGTTGGCCATGTGGGATCCAGCCGCCTTAACCACCATGCCAGGTCTGCAGTCGGGTGTCAGAACCCCAGATACTCCCAGCCCCGGCTCTGGAATCACTGCCCCAGGGCGAGACCCCGGACCTGCAGTCAGGGCTGGGGCCTGGGGGCTCCCTCGGCTGGGCCCTCGGCACTCACGGTCCTCCCGATGCTCTTGTTGATGGGCTTCATGAGGAAGGAGGAGCAGAAGCCGCTCAGGTACATCACCAGGGGGATGGTCGCGATGAACCTCTGCGGACGGGCAGCGCGCCGCTTCAGCTGGGCTCCGGGCGAGCCCCCCACGGCGCGCTCCCCGCCGCCTCACCTTGGGCAGGTTGAGGGAGTAGGTGAGGTACATGGCCATGTAGGTCTGCGACAGGTTCACGATGAGCCTCGTGGTCATGTACAGCACGCCCACCTGTGGGCCGCACGACGGGGCGGTCAGCCCGGCTCTCCCCGCCGCCAGCAGGGGGCGCGCGGCGCCCGATCGGGGAAGACTGCCCTGGGCTGGCGGGGCAGGGTCTGCACGCTCCCGAGCCCCGCAGGACAGGCCGGACCCACCTGGTAAAACGCCGGCTCCCGCCCCGACGCCCACCACCAGCAGCGACAGGTTCTGGGGGCAGCGGGCACAGCGGTCAGCGGGGCTCCCCCCAGCCACCCGTCCCGCCCCAGGCCGCGACTCACCCGGAACACCGACATGTCCTGGACCCCCAGCTGCTCGCTCACGTCCACGTCCATGGCGGGGCCAGTGCGCGACTTGGCCTGCAGGTGTAGCAGGAGCCAGGCGGCACCGTAGACGGTGATGTTGGCCACCACGGTGAAGGCGTACCTGGCGGGCCGCGCAGCTGAGGCCTGGGCCCAGGGGACGCATTGCTCCCTCCCCGGGCTCCCTCCCGGGCGCACAGGCCAGCCTGCCCGAGATCCCCTCCGCCAGGGCCGGGGCTGCCGCCCCCAGTCAGGGTTTCCCTTTATCTTCCCGCTAGGGCCTGAGCACTCACCGGGACAGAGGGACAGAGGGGAATGAGAAGGGCCCGAGGACGGATGGCCATGCAATCCCTTATTTTTGGGGGATGTGGGGGACCTATGCACACACACACGCACACACACACATGCACATGCGCGCACACACGCCTGACTTTCAAGCCACCAGGTCTGGGACTCGAACTGCAGAGTCGTCCATGTGGACCTTAACCACCATGCCACCTGCTGGTCCTGTGTCCCCGTCTGAAGGTGGGGACAGTGCTACCTCCAGAGCCAGAGGGTGCTGTGCCTTGGTGGGTCTCTCCAGCCCAAGGCAAGGCCCCAGCTAAGCTGCCGGGTTCAGGGGCGAGATGGC